GGAGCGGGGAGGGAGGGGAAAAATGAGGACCTAATGTCGGGGGTTTAAGTGGAGAGAAAATGTTTTGAGAATGATGTACAAATGCGCGTTACACCATTGATGTGTGTATGGATTGCGATAACAGTTGTATGAGCCCCTAATAAAAAAGCTGAATTATAAACAAAAGATTGCCCATCATGGATATTTAACAGAAATAATTCTTTACAGAAGAAACCTTTATATATATTAGATGTTGGCAATGTAGTGAATTTAGCTATTCTTTAAATCTTAACCCATTGGTTTAAAGAATGCAAAATTTCAAATTTTGCCACAAGTACTCACCCCCTAGGTAAGTCCCAAGTTGATCTCTGTTGTTGTATTTAATAATAGCCTTAACACACACACATGTGACAAAATACATAAGCAATTTGGTTTATAATGGAGCATCTCTAGGGCTATAAAGATGTCTGGACTTGGAAGCAAAATCGAGTAAGTGAAAATGAAATCTACTCTGAAATTCAAAATGGTCCAACACTGCCCAACTTGAACTTCAAATTTTCCCAAAACTAAATTTCTACGATATTCACAAGTTAGCTCTAACCCTATAGGACCCATGAAAGGTGACTGTTTTCGTCTTCCGTCTCACACTAAAAAGACAATCTAACCAAGATCTTCACAACAGAGCAGCACCCCTTGAAATTTCAAATGTAACTGTAGGGTTTGGAATGAAGTCCAAATGCAGACACACACACACACTCCCCAAGTGCTCCAGCTTTCAATCATAAGCAGACAGTGTATTAACATTCCCGATCTCACTTAGAAAGCAGTTCCTGGAAACCACGGTCCTTGGGTATAAAAAGAGAAAGATTTGAAACTGGCCAGAGCACACAAGTCAGCATAAACCTCAGTCCTTTGCACCTTCACTAGAATGCCAAGGAGGTGCGAGTGGAGAGCTGGCCGAAGAAACATGACTCCTTAAGGGGTAAAAGCAGAGAAGCAAACCCAGGACAAGCCAGTCCAAAGGGACATTCGCCGTGGGATCCACGCAAACGTGCCGCTCCTTTCAACGGCGAGAGCAACCTTTAGCAAGCAAACGGTGCGCCCAGCAAGTAACCGCAAGAGCAGACAATCGCCCCCCTCCCCTCTCCCTCGCCCTGCAGCGTCCAGCCCAGCAAGAAGGGTTCAGCGGGGACTGCTCCCCCGAACGTCAACAAAGGCCCCTTCAGTCCTAAGGCGAAACTCCAACAACAAAGGCCCCAAGACAGCGAGGACGAGGACCGGGCCGCCGGCGGGCCGGAGGACAGCCGCGGGGAGGCAAAGGCATCAAGCCCTCGGGGGCGGAGGCCCGTTGGAGTGGGAAACCCGCGCGGCGGCGGGGGCGCGGTAATCCCCGGTGCACAATAAGAGGAGGAGGAAGGGGACCCAGCCTCCATTTCCCACCTGGCCCTCGCTCGCCACGGAGCGCTCCCGTCGCCGCCGCCGACATCGCAGCCGCGGGGAGCGCGGGGCTCCGAGTTCGCGAAAGGAAAGGGGTGGGGGGATTTTCCGCCCTGACCACACTCCCTTCCCCCAGCCCAGAGCCGGCGACCACAGCTACGGCGACAGCCACACAAAGGCGGCCTCCTCGGCCTCCCCGCTCCGGCCCGGCGAGGGCGCCGACGGAGCCCGGGCGCCGACGACCCCCGATCGGCCGCCAGGCGCTGGCTCGCTCGCCCCCTTCCCTTTCCAGCCGGGAAAAGGGGGAGGGGACCCGAGGCGCACTCACCTGGCACAGCTGCTGACAGTACTCGGTGGCCGCGTCCACGGCCGGCGCCCGGCTCTCCCGCAGCCGCCGCTCCAGCTCCTGGAGCCGCTCGCCCAGGCGCTGCAGCTCCGCGACGCAGCCGCCTCCGCCGCCGCTCAACCTCTCCTGCTCGGCCTCTTCGTCCGCCATCTTCACACCCCGCTCCGTCGCGTACGCACCTGGGTCACGTGATAACACAATGCCACGTTCGGAGGGGTCACGTGCCGGGCGCGCCAGCACGGCGCGGAGCACGTACAAAGGGCCCGGCCGGGGAGCTGGGCGCGGAGGGGGGCGCGCGCGCGAGCCCCCGGGAAGTGCACGCAAAGGGAAGGGGAAGGGGAAGGGCGGGGCGCGGGGCCGCGGCTTACTTACCCGCAGCGGGAGGCGCTGCTGCGGCCCAAAGGGGCAGGCCTGCTCTCGGTCACCGGGACCGTCGCCGGAGAGGGTGGTGCTGACGGGCGCCTCTCGCCAGCGGCCCCGGCCCGGCGGCGCTCTCCTCTCTCCCCGAGGCCTCTCCCTACCGCAGGCTCCAGCCCCCTAAGAGCAGCGCATGGGGACATTTCCGAGTAAGCTGGGACAAAGACGTACTTGCCATTGGCTTCTAGGCGGGCCCGAGGCCGCGGAAGAGGGAGAAGGTGAACCCTACCCATGGGCCGCAACCAAGCGGGAGAGCCCAAGCGGGATTCGGAACTGTCAAAATGGTCTGACTTCTCATCTGGCGGGAGAGGAGGGATCTAGGGTGTGAGCACGTCCTAGATCTCCTCCCGCTAGACTCTCCTCCTCTTCAGCCCCAAGAACGCCTCTCCCCCAAGCTCTAAAGAGTGGAGGCCACAAAGAAAAATAACAATTGGGTCAGAGCAGAATGAGGGTTTAAATCTTCAGCCTGGAGAATAGGGCAAACTCTATTTAGGAAACATAGTTGAAGAGAGTTCAAACGCACAATAAACTAGTGGGGGATACTGTAACCAAATTATAGTTAAACCATGAAACCATTTCTAGAATAAGTGCTACCCAACTAATCTGTTTCTCTGTGACTTTAAACTGATACACACTACAGAAGTTACCATTACTAAATACAGACCACAGGAGAAAGTAGGGTGGCGGGGGTGAGGGGGGGTACTAAGTACTCCATAAAACATCACAACAGAGGGGAGGAAACCGATGCTAAAATAAAAGAACAAGATTATCCAGTATTAGAATAACAATTTTCCTGGTCTAACAAATGGAGATGGTATTCTAAACCATTGTATTCACAAATTGGAGAGAATAAATACTTGGTGGCATAGTGGTTACTTTGGGGTTGCTAACGTCAGCAGTTCCAAACCACCAGCCGCTCCATGGAAGAAAGATGAGGCTTTCTACTCTCAAAAGCAGTCTGTCTTGGTTTGGGTGTTTTTCTTTGGATTTGCACAATGGAGGAATATACTCGAAAAATTAAAGAGTTTAACCTGAAGTTTCGAATGAAACTAATATTTTAATAAGAGAATAAAACAAGGCTTCTCTTTCTTACAACAGAAGGATCTTCAAAAATTCAGAAACAATGATTTTGATAAATGATATTTTGAGGTAAATTTTCCAAATGCAAACATCTAAAATGAAAAGAATTGTCATGTCAAATTTTCTAATAGTAATAGAAAATCTTCTAGTTGTTCAGAATGAATGCTTTGTAATGTATTGGCCATGGTAATGTTACAGTGTCATATAAGTTGGGTGGGGCACAATCAAATTGAATTCCCGTATAAAATACAGTATTAGCTAAAATATCAGCATAACACTCAAGTACTAATGTTTAGATATTAACAATGCAGGGATTTCAAATGTTTACTTTCAGAAGAGGCTGGAGAGTACATTCAAAGGCTTTGGCAAAATAATATAACAGCAAGTATCACTGGGATCTAAAAGATCAGGAATTAATGCCACTAATAAATTTCAATACCTGGAGCTTACTTTCCCAAGTGAAGTATCTTCAAAATCACTATCATCGAGTTGATTTGGACCTATAACAACCCTATAGGGCAAAGGTCAAACAGTCCCTAATAGTTTCTGAGATTCTAACTCCTCATAGAGTAGAAAGCCCAGTCTTTCTCCCACAGAACAGCTGGTGGTTTTGATCTGCTGACCTTGTTGATCACAGCCCAACTTGTAACTTGGATACTATGAGAAACATGAACTGAGTAAAATGAGGTTAGCCAGGTATGTCAGTCATTTCAGAGACAGATAAAGTATCAACGACTCCAATGCCCATTTTCACTTCAAGTTTAATGGAATAAAAGGTGTGTGTGTGTGTGTGTGTGTGTGTGAATTCTCAAAACAGTTGTACAGCCCTAGAGTGTAGGCCATTCCCCACCTCCTCTTCATGGTTACCCTGAAACTAGGATGATGACTCTGATGACTCATAAACAATTCTGTGCACTATTACTATTTTGCACAAACTCATTAGAATGAACGCCTGGTGTCCTTTTTATTTGGAATCCTTGAGTCTTATCTCTCCTTCATTACTGCCTTCTTACATATGTTTAGCCTCTCTGGCAATGTAAACACTGGAAAGGGAGATGGAATCATCTCATCATCATTTTGTTTTTAGGTGCTGTCATGTTGGTTCCAACACATAGCAATCCTATGGACAATGGGATAAAACACTGCCCAGTCCTGTGCCACCTCCCAGCCATGCCATGTTAACCGATGGCAGTTTTTAGTGTGTCGATGCAAGGCGTTGAAGGCCTTCCTCGTTTTCTCTGCCCCTCGTCTTTACCTTTACCAAGCTGGATGTCCTTCCCCAGGAATAACCATTCACTGCTGGGGATATCAGAGGTAAATAAAAATGATCCCTCACGATGAAAACAAACTGCACTAAACATTTTTTAAATTAAAGTGAAATAAAACTGCATTGGGAAAGCTTGAAGTCGTGGGAAGAGTGATATGGCAATGTATTGTAAAAATGAGTGTAGATTCAACTCAGAACCTTAAAATAGTCTGAGTATTAAAGTCTAACTAGAATGTCTGCAGTATTTACAGAAGTGCAGGTGGTTGATGTTGGTTTTGTTCTTTGTCATTCGAGAAGGGATGGAATACTCTTCCTTGACAAGTTCACCTTGTCCTGGAGGCACCTAATCTTGCCTTTGATAATTTCATTCTTATCCACAAAAAATATGTATTCACAAGTATGCATGATGTACAACACACACACACATACACACACCCCTACTTACTGAAACACACACACCCCTACTTACTGAGATGTTCCTGGGGGAAATTGGAAGCCGGTCCACGGAGAAAATAAGACAAAGCCCTTTGGGAACTCAATCTCTGCATTGCGAGTTCCTGGTCCCATGCTGTGCTTTATGTGGTCGATCTGGCCTCAGTCTAATAAGGACCCTTACGCCCATGGGCCTTGATTTCAGAATACATCTTGGTGAGGAAACAAGGCCTGCATCTCCACCCCGACCCCGAGGTGTACAGCGTTGGGAAGACATTGGGAGAAAGACATCTCCCTGCTCCCCGGCGGGCTAGCGCTGCGGGGCCCGCACCGTGCCGAGCACTCGTTTTCTAGAATCCCGGAACGAGCAGAGCCCGGGCCTAGAAAGGAGCGTTTTGGGGCCGGCTGAAAGCAGGTGGCCCGAGCCAGGGTCCCGCCGGGGAGCCAGCGGGCGCGGCGTTAGCGTTTGGAAGCGAAGCGGCGCCC